AAATAATAACTTCTCATATGCTCTTTGAATAATCATCTATAACCATCTAATATTTCGTTTGTGTAATTAATGGAGATATGAGATGTCTTGATCTCTCTAATAATAATAATAATAATAATAATAAAGACCAAATTTCATGCTACAATGAGATGTCTCAATCTCTCTAAAGCTATTAAAAAGCTAACATTTAAGACTACAACTTTCATGAAGACTTTAAGACCAAATTTGGTCATTTATCCTCGCTGTTGTAATGCTCAATCTGGTACTATAGCGTTGGATTTCTGTCACCCAGTTTTCCCATATTGTTGTAGCGCCTAATTGGCCATTGTAGCATTGGATCTCTGGCAGATCCTGTGTTTTCACCGTTGTAGCATTCATTTCACCACTACAATGTTGGATCTCTATTTGAACCTCATATTTTGGGTATTTCCAATGCTGAATGCAAAGTTTTTTTTTTTTTTACATGTTTATGGTTTCTCCTTTATTTCTCACATGCATTTCACAAGTTTCACTTCTAACACTCGTGGAATGCTCTTTTACGTTGATTTATCCATGTCAAAATGACATGCATCCAAATTTACATAATCAAGTTCATGCCTTATCGCATCAAAACCCAATTGAAACTCATCTGCATTCTCAAATTTTCTTCATAAACACCATTTACAACTTATTTTCATCATAAGATTAAGCTTCCTAGATCAATAACAAATCAAACAACGTATGAAAATTGAATCCAAATCCCTTTACCTAAATTCTAGCCACGAAAAAGAAGAGAAGAGAAACGAAAAGGAGTATAAGAGAATTCCGCAACCTCCAAACTTTCGAGGTAACACCACACCACCACCACAACTTGCTTTCCCTCTTTCACATGTTAGCCACAGAGAAGGAAGAAAAAATGAACGTTTCAACCATAACAACACTCTCAAGATCTAGATAAGAAAAAGAAAAGAAAAGGACACAATGTTATAGTATTGGTTAATGGTGAATTGTGTCATGGGTCTATTTTGGTAAAAAAAAAAACTACTTATGAGGAGATTTAAAAAAATAGTTTATTAACTTATGCACATAAATTAACTTGTATTTTTTCATATTAATTTATCTAAATACTTATTTTTAAGTTATGCATGAGATAATTATAATTTGTATAAATATTTATGAAAAAAAAACCCAAATACATCATATATTTATCTTTTTTTCTTTTGTATAACCTATATTCATCTTTGGTGGAAACTAATTGATAAAAACTTCCTAGTTATTTTGCAAATTTACATAATTAACATTGGTTTGTGATGAAAGGAGAATTACCGTGTGCCCATGGTTTGACATAATAGAAATTAGAAATGTAAGTGAGTTGGGTTGGGACAGGTTTGTATGAGTGTGTTACTAGATCCGATCAAATTTAACGAGTTGTGTTAGGTTATATTTGTGCATTTCTTTTTGAAATTTAATTTAACCCAATCTAATTATGAACATGTTGGATTAGGTAGAGTCAATATGGTCAATGTAATTAAATTGATTTATTATACAAATTTAAATATTTTGCAATAAATATAAATCATTTGATATTTTATTCCAAATACAATGTCATCAACTAATATAACAAATAATGATATAAAAAAAAATTTAAAATAAATTTGTTGATTTACTATGTTGTTATCCACTAAGACAACATTAATACAAAATAAACTTTAAGATAAATATGTTGTATTTTTATAATGTTATTAATCCAAAAATATAATATTTGTTATTGAACAAGAGTAGTAGGGAGTATTGTTTTGAATAAGTAATCATACTAACTTATTATTGTTGTTGTTATTATTATTATTATTCATATTATTATTGACCAAATCAGGTTTAGTCATTGATAAAAACAAAAAAATTGTTACCTTTCTCAAATAGTATCGGATTTTGATCAAGTTGGATTGAGTATGATCCAAATACTAAAAAAAATTGATCCAAAATCATTAAATTGATTTGAATCAATTTAGATTCATGAATTATTCGTATCAACTTACACTCTCAACAAAAACATAAAAGTGAATACGATAAAAGGGTTTACCTTTTTTCTTTTCTACTCAAAATTAAATAAATAAAAGTGTGAAGAAGTGAAATGAAATTATAACATAAATAATAAAAAAGGTTAAATTATATTTTTGGTCCTTTATATATATTTTTAGATTCATATATATTTGTCTTTTATATATTAAAATGTTCACTTTGATCATTTATCTTTTTATATTTAAATCAACTTAGTTCTTTTAAAATTATGTTCATTTTCAGTTTCATGACATGTAATTTTGAATCAATTTTTAATTGATTTAAGTCTTAAAACTTGTAATATTAAATTCACTTATATGAAAAATATGAAATATAATTAATGTTTGATTCTAAAAGGGTTATAAATATAATGAAAATTATGTGAAAAATATATCTTATAAATAATTAAAAAATAATATAAAAATATATTTTTTTAAATTTTATTTTTTACCATGCTTACAACACAATTAATTTAAACTTCAATTATATTTAATAACTTTTATGTAAGTGAATCTTATATAAATACATTTTAAGTTTTAAATCTATTAGAAACAGATTCAAAAAGAATATGTTGACCTAAATTTAAGAAATAAATGATTAAAATAAATATTTTAAACAATAAATGACCAAAACGCTTTTTGTTTACAGAATATTTTAAAATCGATAAATAAGAATTAAACCAACAACCAAAACTAATAAATAATTAAAATATATCTAAAAAATAAAATAAATAACTAAAAATATAATTTAATCATTATTTTTTTTTACTTATCTCATCAAATAACTTTAATTTTCTACACAACTTCTAATCTCTTATTTCCTTTTTATTTCCTTCCTATGCACTACCAAATAAGGGAAGACATATTTTGATGGTAATCCAATACCCAATATTCAGAACTTAAAAGAACAAATTAATGGGTCATAAATGTTATTAAATGACACTGATGGATGGATGCATACCCCACATGATATAACAAATCAAATAATCTATCAAGACATTTTGAGGATTTTCTAAATTCTTTAAATTGGTTTATATTATATAAATTAATTTAATCAAAATAAAAATTTGTTTAATATAAAATCTTATTTTAGAAACTTAGTAATTTCTTTTTATATTATCTGAAAAAGTTTTTAACTTATAAGTTTTCATTTATTTTTCTTTTCTTTGTTAATTTAATTGAAATATTACTTTTTATTTTTTTTACTCATACTAAAAATTAATATATATCTTCGTTAATCAAATATTATTTTTACTTTTATTATTTTGAAAACTTTTATCTATCCTCTCATGATGAAATAAAAATAAATAAATGTCTTTTATGTCATTTTATAATAATTAATTATTCTATTAATTAATTTTATTAAATATTTTTATTCAATTAAATAACTTATAAACACTTTTGTATTATTTTGTTGGTGTTGTACTTAGTGTATATTAAAGGCACTTTTGAAATCATCTTTTAAGTTTTGATTTTAAAAATACCCTGTAAATAGAAATAGGTGGTGGAAGATTAATTAAAAAATAATTAAATAAAATCAGAAACCTAAGTCAATAAAAAATTAATAAAGTTAATATCATTCAATTTATATTTAAATTTGAAATAATAAGTACAAATTCTATATTTAATGTTTGTTTTTGTCATTATAATTTTTACAGTTAAAAAAATCATACTATTAGAATCCAACCTCTTAAACTGAAAGTATATATTTAAAAAAATATGTATATAAATAAAAGCATGAAAGTGCGGATAAAGTGGAAAATTGATTCTGGGTGAGTCGTAATTGGTTAACGAAAACAATGAATCGAAAGAAACGCAGAGGTTCACTAGTGAGCGTGATTCTAACGCGTGGAATGATAAAAATTTGAAGAGAATTTCTATGGTACCCTCTATAAAAGAAGGGTACCGGTACTGTCGATGACGTGTAAATTTAAATTATTTATAATTTTTTTAATTATTTAAAATCTACATCCACGTCAGTTATATGAAATTTTATTGTTAATATTAAACGTATGCATTAATTTCCTTACGAGATTCTTTCGGTAGTTCCTTTCTTTCGTAACAATTTTCCATCTCAATGAAGAAGAAGAAGAAACCTTCACCGTCCCACCAATGACACCAAAAGGAACACGTCTTTGCCGACAGACTCTACTCCACGCGCGCCGCTTTCGGCGGCAAGGCGCGTCACATCCAGATCGACTGCGGCTACCGGGACCACTCCCGCCTCTCTTTCATCTTCGACGGGGAGACGGTTTTCCAGATCAAGCGCCTCAAGTGGAAGTTCAGGGGGAACCAGCGTGTGCAGGTCGACGACGTCCACGTGCAAATCTCGAGTGGGACATTTACAACTGGCTATTCCA